TAGCAATCTTTGTTGACTGGAAAATCGTGTCTTTTGACAACAAAACAATGGTTTGACACGGTCTTTAAGATTATCAGGTCACTTTAGCATACAACGAAAATAAGTTCAATTACGACTAGAATGTATGCTCGATGTGGAATAGAAACCACTTTGAAGAAGCCCCAACTAAGCAGACCTAAAGTTTAAAAAAAATTCATTTTTTCCTCATTTCAATTACTTTAGCTATAAGGCTCCACACTCACACTCAACTGCTTTTTGGTAAACTTTGTCTGACGCTCTAAAATTAAGGCATGGCACTAATTGACAGTACGGTTAGTTTGGTATCGCAAACGCGAGGTGGGATGTTTTCATATGTTTTCATCTTGAAAGCAAGACTAAAGGGAAAGAAATGTGAAGTGCTTAGACTAAACTTCAATCAAGTGTAACGGCAACTAAGACGTGTGTGCTTTTCACAAATAATCAAGCCCCTTGTAAGACTTCGTTGAGTGGAATAGGATGTTGTGAAATTCCAAGTGCCGTGGAGTGAACTAACTACATCAAATTGGTCTAAGAATAAACTATCCTTTATGATGCCCATAGAGAGTGCATTAGATCCCGGTTTGGTACCGCTCAGCTCTCACGGGATAAAGACTGCCACCCACTATTGAGAGAGATCTTCCTAGCATAGATACTGGAATGAAGATCACGGACGAATCGAGCCTGAATTCAACAACAGTGTGGAAGACCAAGGCGATCTAGGACTGGCAGACCCCTCGTCTCGCTCCCTAACCCGTTATACCAGCTACAGTCGAAGAAATCGTGCTCGAAAGTGAATCGAAATGAGGGAGAATAAAGAAAAGTATCAAGGGGAGAAAGCTTATTATACCATGCAAACGCATGATCGCCATGCCGTACTGTCCTGGGGCCGGTAGTTCATCTGCCCGCAATGAAATGTTGGGCAAGTTTTCCTTTTCCATTCCACTTGGAGGTCGCATGTTTCCTAGACTAGCTGAAGCTTCGAGCACTAGAATATGATGGCCAAGTGATGAAGTCTTGCCAAGGCATGCCCGAGCCCATTCCGACTTCAAAAGGGGGTAAGGCTGGGACATAAGCGAGACTGGAAGAAAGAGTGGAATTCATTGAAAAAATAACGTCTTCTCTCCAATCTCTCTTGAACGCCCGCAAAACAGCCGGACAGACAGTACAGCTTATTGACAACTGAAGACAAGCGACTATATGCGTCGGAAAAATGTTCTGCCATCTCGGCTAGCCTCTTGATGCTTGGGCGTATGGTTAGCCGAAATGTCGAGTCGCATTTCGGGTGCTGTCAAAATGGTCTCCAGAGCCTCCGACGAGACGTGCAAAGGCTTGTCCCGTGAGAATGAAGAGTGGGATTTTTCAAAAGATTCTTTAAATAGGCCTCGCTGAGTCCCATGCAAATTTGATTGACTTCAAAGCCGAAGTATGATGGGCAGAAATTGGCAGGTTCCAGGAGGTTATCTAGTAGAATGCTCCCAGAGGTGATCTTCATTCGGGCCCTGGGGATCACCGATACAAACAACTGATCAGGT